TTCTATCGATTAAGAGTTCCTTCTCCTTGGATAGATTAGCTAAGATATATAGGGATGAGATAATAAGTAGACATGGGGTGCCAGTGTTCATAGTATCAGATAAAGATCCAAGGTTCACATCCAGGTTTTGGCCTAGCTTACAGAGAGCTATGGGCACTAAGTTACATTTTAGTACAGCTTTTCACCTACAGATAGATGGCCACTTAGAAAAGACTATCCAAACTCTAGAAGATATGTTATGTGGATGTGTGATACAGTTTTCAGGTAGTTAGGATGAGCACTTATCTTTAGTTGAGTTTGCTGATAATAATAGTAATCATTCCAGTATCGGTATGGCACCCTACGAGGCTTTGTTTGGAAGGAGGTGTAAGACACCTATATGTTGGGATGAGGAAGGCGAGAGAAGGTTGATATGGCCAGAGATTGTGTAGATTACAGTAGAGAAAATCAAGGTGATTAGAGACAGACTAAAAGCAGCCTAGGATAGACAGAAGAGTTACTCAGACCCAAAGCATAGAGATATACATTTCGAGGTCTGTGATAAAGTATTCTTAAAGGTTTCACCATGGAAGGGTGTGTTAAGATTTGGTAAGAAGGGCAAATTGACTCCCAGGTACATTGGACCCTATGAGGCCATTAAAAGGGTGGGGCTAGTTGCTTATAGATTAGCTTTGCACCCGAGCTTTCACAGATACATAACATGTTTCACCTTTCCATGTTGAGGAAGTATTTATCAGATCCTAACCATGTCCTCCAACCACTGCCAGTGGAATTAAGAGAATATCTGACTTATATTGCAGAGCCGGTTCAGATTCTAGGCACCGAGGTGAAACAATTCTGTTCTAAGAAAGTGCCACTTGTTAAGGTGTTATGGAAAAGCTCGAATAAGGAGGAAATGACTTGGGAACGAGAGTACAACATGAAAGCCAAGTATCCCTATCTTTTTCCATCTACAGGTAATTGAATTTTGAGGACGAAATTCTTTTTAAGGAGGGTAGAATTGTAACATCCCAAAACCTATTTCCTTTAAAAATTTCTTAAACCACTTTTGTTTGCTTTTTAATTTTATTTAGAGGGAATTTTGAGGGGTTTAAGAAGGAGGAAAGTGTATTAGAAGTTTTGGGATGAAGTATGTTTTTGTAAAAAAAAAAATCGGGTTATTGCAGCAGCGCGCCGTAGCGCTACACACTAAAATTTGGGCGCTGTAGTGCCCAAGCACTATAGCGATGGCTACTGGAATTAGTCCACCATAGTGTGCTAAACCACGCCGTAGCGCTGGGTCATGATTTTTAGCATTTTTTTATTAAAAATTTGGGATTTTTAACTCCTCCAAGTACCCCTAAACTCTTTTGAATTCCTAAAAACTATAAATCAAAAATTTGGGAGATATTTCAGAGTACCCAAAATTTATCCAAAAATTCATGTGGATTAAAAATAGAGACAATTTGAGTAGGGGCAAAATGGTCTTTGTGGTTTAGAGACCCATTTGTTTAAAGCATTGGGCTGTTTTCTAGGGCCTTTTAAAAAGCTCATTCTCACCATATTAGAGAGAAAAACAGAGGGTAAGAGGAAATAATAGAAAAGGAAGAAAAAAGATATGTAAAATGGCCAAATCTCAAACCCCTTTTGATTGTTCTTCAATATTTTTACATATTTAGCTTCATCTCCTCGTTTTATAGCTTTTAATCGATGTAGATTTCCGTTTTGATGTTGTTTGTGTATTGTAGAGAGAGAAAGATGGGTTTAACCTCATTCATAGGAAATATTGCATGATTGTTATTGTTTTTAGTTAAAATGCCCTTGGATATTATTTTACTTGAGGATATCTATATTTTCATAATTGGATTAAAACTTGAATCAAGTATTATGGTTGAAATACGAGAGAAATGGGTGAGATGATGTTGAAATGGGGTAAGAGCATGTTTGGTTGGAGTTGAAATATGGGAAAATGGGATAAGGGCATGTTTGGATGGAACCCAAAAGTTAGAGATTGAGAAAAATTGTATTTATACGAGTTAGGATATAGTTATTGCTTTCATATGATGTATTTAGAGCGTTTCTCTCATGTATATGTATCCTACTTGTAGGAGAGGATATTCCGACTATTTCAAACCCTAGACCTACAGCTCTAGGAGCACCCTTATAGACTCATTTTGCATAGTAAGTGAGAATCTTCTTAATTCTAGTTATTTTTCCAAATTATGATTTACAATGAACAATTATCACTTTAAACCCAATTATATGTTACTAGTGTAAACATGGGAAACAGTCTAGCTGTGTTTTGATTTTGGTTATGTGCTTAATTTGATGATTTTCATGAGTTTATGTTATTTTGGTGCCTTGGCACCTAGACTATGATATCAGGCAGTCATCTGGGGCAGGTGGCAGTCATACTTCCACTACATGATATATACATATATATGTGTGTTTATTTCCCTAGTGAAATGGATCATGCACCAAAGACTGTGTTGGTTTGGCCGGGGAGCGGCAACCCTCAATGCAAGCTATACAGTGTAGTGCGCCCGACATAATTATGTTTTACCTAATTATGGCCCATGTTATGTTTTATGATTTTACTGCCCCTAGACACCTTCAGTTGTGCACATCCGATCAGAGTATACGTGCTAATATGTATTATGATTTTTCTGATTTTCTATGATGCCATAAAGTCTTTTATGATTTATGCTCATGCTCTCTTATATGTATGACTTGGCACAATAACAAACTTAGTTTTTATACTGTTGAAAATTTATTGTCATGCCTTTTGATATGAAACTCTATGAGATTATTTGTATTGTTTAAATAATTAGAAAAACTGACTATTTCTACTAGGATTATTTAAATTACCATTCACTAAGACATTTGTCTCACCCCTTATTTTCTCCCCCCTACAGATGTTGAGACGGTAAGTTAGAACCTTGGTGTTCGTATTACTTATATTTTGCTCATTTTATAGCACCAAGTTGGGCCAGGCCACAAGAGTCTGTTTTGATCATGTTTTGTAGATATGAGTTATGCATGTGGGGTGACTATTTTATGTTTTGAATAAATGTAAGCAAGTTTGTGATATTTGAGATCTTATGGATGAGTTACTGTTGGTTAAGCGTATGTGATGATTTTTGAGTATGGCATGATGTTAGATGATTATTGGAAATGTTGATACAAGATGAATGATGCATAAGTCTTGTGTTGAATGAGAGATTGCAAATTATGTATATTTGTAAAGTTTTTGGTTTAAACAGGTATTTAGACACGGGCCTTTAAGGCCAACTAAAGAGTGGTTATAGTAGCCGGCATGCTGCCGGATTTTACCCAGCGGTGTATTAGTTATTACCCCGCTGTCATGCCTCTTAAGGTTAAAAAGGTGGGGTGTGACACTCACCTTAGCGTTAGTCATGGATCTAGCACCTGAGTTACTACAAAATGGTATCAAAGCAAAACAATTTTCGAACTTATTTTGTTTAGATACAAGTACGAATTTTTTACCCGACAAAAACGTCGAGTTTTTAAGTGGAGAAGATTGTAACATCTCATTCCATATCAATTTATAAGAGTAATATAATATGGTATATAAAAGACTAAAAACTATTACTGAACAATTTAAATTTAAGTATTTTTGGCCAATGGTTTAGGTTCAACAAGTTGTTAGGATAGTAGTTCTTAAGTCACTATAGAAATACGGTATAATGGTTAGACTTGTTAGATTAGATTCTATTCTAACCTTATCACTGATCACAAATCTAACACGTAGGTTGTGACAAAATGATATAAGAGTAAAAACGATATTTGAATCTATTTTGCTTGGATACAAATATAGATTTCTAACTTGACAAAAACGTTAAATGTTTAAACGGGGAGATTGTGACATTCTATCCTATATCGATTTCTGAGTATGATATATGGTATATAAGATATTAGAAACTACTACTGAATAACTTGAATTTAAGTATTTTGGACTACTGGTTTAGATTCAGCAAGCTACTTGGGTCATTAGTTCTCAAATTACAAAAATACTGTATGACAATTTGTTAGGTTAGATTCTATTTTAACGTTAATGTCAGTCACAAATCTAGCACTAGATCATGACACAATAACAATTTCATAAGTTGACAAATTTTAAAAAACTTCACTAGTTTTAAAATGTGAAAAATACTCTCCTTCCTTTAAATTTAGTTAAATAATAATTTGTTCCATTTTTATCATGAAAAAAAATTTTTTCCTTTCACTAAATATTAATTAACAATTGTTAATGATTGAAAAAACCCAATTTCACATATTTTAATAATATATTTGATTAAAAATTAAAAAATTATTTAATTCACTTATTTTTTAAATTCTTATTTTAAATTTTTTAAAAAAATCTAAAAATTGATAATTTAATTTTTAATTTTAAATAATTTTAATTTTATTTTAAATGTTAAAATTAGAATGGGCTCAATGCCATCTAACTTGAAAAAAGGGCTAATTTTTAAATAAAAAATAAATAAAATTAAAATATCATAAAGTAATTATTTAAAAAATAGCAAATTTATATTTTTAAAAGCTTACTTTTTAAAATTTTAATTCAAAAATTAAAATTTTAAATTTTTTAAGTAAAATAAATAATATTTTAATTTATAACCAGATAAGTAACCTAAATAAGTTAAATTAGGTTACATTTACTTTTTATTTAACAAAACCGTTAGTTAGTTATTAGCCAATAGTTTATTAAACGAGGAAAGTGATTTGTCATGATAAAAATAAGATTAAGTGTTATTTAAACAAATTTAGAGAAAAAAGAGTATTTTTTACCCTTAAATTTATATATGCCAAGCAATAATTTGAGAATAAACATTCATTTTACTCATAAATCATAACTAAATTTATGTAAAACTAAAAATCAATCTGACAAGCAAATATTAAGAATATTTTTAATACATGTTACCAAAAAAATATTTTTTAATACATTATATATATATATATATATGCAGAGGTAAGACGCTAGTATGCTTTTAGTTTTTTCAACCCTTGCCAATGAACTCCACGTCGAAGAGTAGAACGGAATCAGGAGGAATAATGCATGAACCTGCAATACAAAATATAAATTCAACGTTTGTTTTTTTTTTTTTTTTTTTTGGAGATGGAGAGAATTAGAAAGAGTAATAAACTCACCTCCCCTACATCCAGCCCCTCTCATGCCATAACCAAGCTCTGGAGGAAGTCTCAGTGTGCGTTTTCCTCCTAAAAAGTTTTCAATTCAAGGGGAATAAATTGATAAAAAAAAAAATAACAAATAGTAATTCACTTATAAGAGAATTTAAATGTTATCACTATATCTTTTATAAATAAATAAAATAAAAATTTTTTATACCAATTTTAAATTTACAATATTTATCCCTCAAATAATATTATAATAAAATATTTATCAAAAATTATACTTTTAAGTGACATAAATATATTTTCAGGTATAAATGCTAGTTAATATTTCCCTATTTCAACTATCTATATTCAATATTTATATTTGTAAAGACATTTATACCTTTTAAAAGTATAATTTTAAAAAAAAATTATTAAAATATTACTTGAGATGAGCAAATGATATGAATTTAATATTTATATGGAGAGTATCTCTTTCATGTATTTGTAGGGAGTATAGTATTAAAAATTAAATTTTCTGATAGGTAAAATACTATTTACATAAGAAAACTACGAGAAATAGTAAAATTAATTTATGAAATACTGGAATATTAATTAATACCAGCAAGCATGGGTGGAACTCCATCACCACCTAGAATACCCACGTCCCAGCCTTTGATCACCTGTGAGTAACATGCATTCTATTAATTCCATCTACTACTTATTTAATTAATTCATGCCAAACTTCAATTTTAAAACCTAAATTTTAAGAAGAAAAAATTTGAAGCTAGTTTATTTGTCATTTTAACGCGCTTAGTAAAAAAAAAAAAAGGTGATAAATAAATTGAAAAAATAAGGTATAAGTTAAGGGTTTTCATGGCACCATTTGGTTCAATTTGAGATTTAAGTACAAACAAAATTGTACTTCCCAATTTATAATTTTAAAAAGTCAAATAAAATCATAATTTATAATTTAGTTCAATTTTAACAATGGTCAGTAATTTGTAAAAATATGATGAATTAGATTCATTACTTTTATAAAAATTTTAACAAAATTTTCTTAAAAATCAAACATTTAAATATTTTCTTTCACTTATTTAATTCAATAAATTTATTATTTATAAACTAATCATAATAAATACACATTATATAGTAAATACTATACAATATAACAAAACTTAAATTTATATGATAGAAATCACTCTACAAATAATAAATAATGAATTATTAAAAAAAGTATGATTATAAAAGATAACAAAAAAATATATAATCAAACAGTAAATATAAACTGTATACATAATCATATAGTTTTTACCACATAGCACAAAAAAAATTATTTATAAATAAAACTAAACCAAATTAAACCAAATAATAATTTAATTAATTTATACAATTTGATTCATTTCCAAAACATCCTATAATAAGTGGTATATAAGATAAGTTATTCATCTTCAATTTATACATAATTGCATTTAATCTTATATTTTATTTTTAATAACTGATTATTTCACGGAAAAAAGACTTCACCCAAACATTATTTAACAAAGTGGCATTATACTTTAAATAATTTTTATATAAATAAATCAAATACCCTCTTAGTGGGTATCTGTAAAGGTCGATCAAATGCAAATTAAGTGTTTTAAGAGCTAATCATTTACATTATAAATAATTGTTTGCAGAAATTGAAAGAACGGAAAGTAACCGGAGAGAGAAGAGGTAGTGAAGAAATGGACCTCGCCGACACCAACACGAAAGGTAAGAGGCTTGCCGCGGTTGTAGCTGCTATCGAAGACCTTGCCGTTCTCCAATTTTCCTACGTAATGCGCCTGTCATTTGATGATTTCGTGATTAATTCAACCAATATTTAATCCATTCCGCTAAGTAACTTAATTGATTGAGAGCTTGATGCATTTAATTATATACCTTAATCAGTTGTCCTTGAGAGCTTGAGGCCCGGTGCCAACAATTTTATCGCAGTACGCAAGACCGGAAGGAGCGATTGTTAGCTCACATGGACTTGGAGCAGCTTCAGCTGCTGCCGCTGGCCGTGACGATTGTAGAAGAAGCGAAAGAAGGCCATCAGCAAACCCTATGCCCAATCCAATTGCTTCTCTTCTTTTCAACCGAATTGCATTGGTTTCACTGCGTTGATATCTGCTGCTGCTGGACAATTGGATGATGTCTGAAGCTTCTGAGGGAGCTGATGCACTAAATTTGCAACGCGATAACCTCAATCGGGCAGTGGAGGACGACGAGGACGACGTTGTTGTTATTGTAAAGAGCTTTGCCGTTGTGGCTGAAGAGTAACCCCCAACCCAAAATGCTAATGTGCTCATCTCCACCAGCACCAAGCTCAAGCAAATCAGATTTCTCGGATAAGAGGGTGACTGGATTTTGCAGGAGGATCACCGAAACTGAATCACGGGTTACCTGTTAGAAAATCTCCAATCCAGTGGCAGGGCCAGACATTGACTAGGGCTCATTAGCCCAATATTGACCCAGGCCCAAACAATAAGTCGCCGGAACGGCCCAAATACGAACCTACAGATATATTTCTACTACAAGCCCGTTGGCAAATTGCTATGTAGTCTTGGCCTCAACTAAACCGAACCCAACCCAAGTACTGATCCTGTAATTCCGGCTCACCATTATCCTTGAAGTGGGAACTTTCTCAGTAATAATAACAAGGAAAAATTTTCAAAGCCGGATGAATACCAACTCTTTTTTATAAAAAGGAATCCTAACAAAAGTAAATTAAAAAAAATTGACGGACTTATGTATTAAAAAAAAAAATTGTATGTGCTTGGGCCAAAACGATTCATATTTATTTATAAAACAATAGGACGCTAACCCTATCTTTCACTCCATTGGACAAGGGTTCATCGCTGGGGCCAATTCTTAATACTAGGAATTAATTTAATGAGTTAATCATTTTAATATTTATTAGATTATTATTATGTATTGGTTCTAATATTAATTTAACAAATTTTAATATTTCTAAGTCTGCAGGTAAGAATTTAGTATAATCAATCAAAAATTTAACTCGAGATCAAAAATTAATTTTTTAAAATGGGATACTTTCTCAAATTCATAATCTGTTTTCAATTCCACCCCCTCTCTCTTCCATGCATAAATAAATGAAACTGTTTTCAACAACTTGTAGCCAAATTTTAAGAAACTTTTGGAAACAATTTTTGTTATGAACAAGTAAATTCCGACTTCACCCCTCTTCCCACTGCCACTCTCCTACTCCTTATCCACTTCTATTTTTATTTTTATTTTTATTTTTTTTAAATGTATGCATAAACAAATAATTCATAAATGTTGTCAAACAACATAAACTTTCATTAGGTTATAGGCGTCCGAGATGAGTTATACTTCATGCTTCATGGTTGTTATTTGTCGGCAACTACTGAGTCAAATATTATCTCTATCACTTGATAAATTAGTGTGTGTGTGTGTGTGTGTGTGTGTGTGAGAGAGAGAGAGAGAGAGAGAGCTTTATCACTTAGTGTAGTACAATTGTAGCGTCTAACTAATAATTGACTTGTATTGTGGACTGTCATTGTTTAGCTTCACACTTCATCTCCAATATCTTATCTTCTCGCAGCTGGAAATGAAAGTGGCCACGGTGTCTTGGAAGACTGTATAACAACGGCTCTTGTAATTTCTAAAGACAACCAATACGTGTCTGTTGAAAATATGTGCAGGTGGTTTTATAGTCCAACTGGAGATAATATAAGAAACAATAAGGTAAATGATTGCATTTGAAAGCTTTTCAATCTAGATTTATTTGACATGGTATAGGAGAGAGTTTACAAAATCCTATGGGGGTATGATTTATCATTTTTATTCAATTTTTCACCGTTGCAAATAAGAGTATGTTAATTGGGTGATTTTCAAATATATTACTGAGATTATAGTTTAATTGTAAAATTATCACTGAACTCCTAAAGTTTAGAGATAATTTTGTAGTACTATTGAAACCTCAAGAATGTATTTGAAAATCTTTTACACATTAGTTCACTAAACTAATGGTCAGTAACATATTTTTTGAAACATAGAATTATATCGAATATGAATTATTCAGTCTTAATTTTTTATTTACCTAGAAAGCAAGTTCTAGATAAATTTATTTAATACTAAGTTTTAACCTACTAAATTAGTGGTCTCAACATCCATCAAATCTATATCCGTATTAATATTTGATAATGACCTAATTGATACTGGCATCATTCACCTATAGAATAGGATGTAGCATTAAATACAAGCCTAGATTCGTTGCCATTGTGCTTATGTGGTTGGTGAGATCATCCGTTTAGATTATTTTAAAAGATTAATTAAGGTAAAATTCTAGAAATATGTTTTTTTCAGAACTATGTTGTTGAAACTATTTTAGAAGCATATAATCCAAAAATTGAAACAATTGCTCCACTTATCTTTTTTAAAAATTATGTTATACACAATATATTTTATTGTATATTCTCTTTTACACATACACACACATATATAAACAGATTTATATATTATATTATATATACAATATATTATGTATTCTATTTTATATTAAAACATAATATATAACATATTATATTATATTATATTATATTAACAAGAATAATACACACATATTTGTATACATATATGTATACATATTGTGTGTGTGCGCGCGCGCGTGTGCGCGTGTGTATGAAATTTTAACCTTTTTTCACTTGAATTCTTTATCTTTTAAATTCATGAATTCAATTCTTATATAGATTCCTCAATTTATTTTTTTTTCACTTCATCCTCTAATATTCTAATTTTTTTTACATAAATTCATACATAAAAAATAATGTATAAGAGAAAACAATTTTAGAAATATATCTTAAAAATATATAGTAAACGAATAATATCTCAATTACCTCTAAAACAATATATTCTAATGTATAAGAAAATACAATTTTATAAATATATCTCAAAAATATATGATAAATGAATAATATTTCAATTACCTCTAAAATAATATATTCTAAAGACATATCTTAATTTAAAAAATATGTACTTTTGAAATAGCAATAAAACAACCTCCAAACATATCTGTACTTGGAAAACAATGTCCCAAATTCTCTAGAGAATTTATAGTTAAAGTAGGTGGCAGGAGCCTTGTTTAGATTAGATTAGGTAGAGGAGCGGAGGAGAGCAACAGCAGCGTGACATGCAATTTATAATGCAATATTATTATTGAGTTGGCTTTTAATTTGCTTAAACCACTAAATGATCATTTTCACAAGGCATAATTTCCTTGTATAATAATGGGATGCCACCACAATTATGTAAGTTTCTTCCTCCAAACATACAAGAAATCTTCAACCTGTCACGTTTTCACTGGCTTCTTGTAGAAACTTACGCTGAAGAGTCTTTCCACTGCGTAATCTTGTATATGAAATCGTACGTGTATGACGAAACTATGCTCAAACTTGCAAGTCTAGAGAACGGAAAGGACTTGGCTTCCTGATCCAAGGTAGCTATTTATTTTTCTTGTTAAATAATTATTAATTATAATGGAAAAATTATAATTTATTAATTAGCTTAAATTGGATATAATTAATTAATTCAATCAATCGTTTATTTTTGATCTAGCAATTTTTATTAATTATGCCCTTAATCAATAAACCAAAAAATTTTCTATTCTCCATATCTATTTGTTATTTAATATTACACCTATAAGGGTTGAAATAGCTGTCTAATCACAATTATAATTATTGACTAATAACCAATATTTAAGCATTGTATTATACTTCTGTCGACAGAGAATTAATAGATGAAGAAAAAAAATGCATGTGCATGAAAGTAGAAAAAAAAATCACAAAAATGATATTTAAATGGTGTATAAAGAGAATCATCCAGATATATAATTATTAACTAAAGACCAGTAAAAATCAAATAAACAATTTAATCAAATAGATTCTTGTTACGACTCAACTAGTCCTAATAACTTATTAAATTTAAATTATAAATTTAAAATATTTAAATTTAAATTATTAATAGTAGTTATTAAAACATTTATATACTATATGATATCACACTCAAAAACTGATATAAGACAAGATGTTACAATTTCATTTATTTTATATATTTTTTAACATTATTTAGATATTTTTGTGACCCAACAACTTGTTATTTTTTATTTTTGTATGACATTCGTTTACTTAAAATTCCATAGCTTGTGCAAGTCACGTGAATCCTAAACTTCAGTAATCATATGAATAAATATGATTGAGATGCTACATAATACAATATAAAATGGTAGGCAATGACCCGAATTCGTTGATAATGCGTGGCCATTCAGTTACACAATTAGACAAGTTAAGAGGAATAATAATATAAGTGATAATAATAAATGCCATGTCAAATTCGGTGGCTTCATGTAGTTTTCACTTGTCCAATTTTCCATGAATATATGAGGACACGCAAAGAAAATCTAGAAACACATTGACCCAAACATAATTCCCTCTCTACCATGTTAAGATTTGGATGCTTGCCACCTTCTGCTCTAAAATTCAACGGTTCATATAAGCTACTCAAGCCCTTCCAAAGGAATCCACAATTACTATGGTGAGTTTGTAAATAATTGATTTGACAACCTTAACCGAACAGAATAAATATCTTATATTTGATATTAAAAATCAATTTAATAAATTAGTAATCTAAGTATCCGTTAAATCAATATGGTAATACTAGTCTTTAATTCAATGAGTTAAAATTCAGTATCAAATAAATCAAATTATATCCATCAGCAAATCAAAATTCACAGATCTAGTAGTGATGCTTCCCAAAAAAAATCTTTTCTTTAACAAAATAATAATCAATTTCAATATACTAATTGCTTCTCTCCTGAAAAATTAGACTAGATGCAATTTGCAATTGTCACAGATCAATAGCATCTAATTTGTTTTTCCAAATTTCAATTCTTGAATAATTGTTTTAGCTATATATATTCATATGTTATTAGTGATATAGTTTAATTTTCAATTTTTTATACTAAATCTAGCAGCAAATCCTGCTTCTTGCTTTTCTATCATATTAGATTGCCTTTAATAAAGAGACAATATCTTAAGGTGGAGTGTCCGCTAGACGGTGATCATGTGCTTAATCAAGACTTGAATAATTAAGAAGCCATTCTTTTATAACCTTAAAAGAACATATTTTAAAAGTTAAAGTATGCTTTTGAGGTATAGTGTTTTAAAAGTAAATAAAAAACTGTTCTTTTGAAATGTATTACATGTATTTTTAAGATATATTTTTTGAAATTGTATTCTTTTATATATTATTTTTAAAGGAAAGATTTATGTAA